ATGTGTTGGCATAATCTTAACGGTGTACTACTAGTATAAATAGTGGTTGTGTCTTTGAGTTGTATCAAGCCAAAAATTTGAGAAATAAAATTTTTACTTTCTTTCTTTTATTCTCTTTAGCCTTCTCTTGTTCCAAAAGCCCTTTTTTCATTCCAACAGGCCATCATTTCGATCGGCAACAAGTTCTCACCACCATCTTCTCATTCTAGCTGGACAATGGTAGCGTCAATTTCTTATAAAGCTCCATATCGGAGATCAGCAGCTCAAGCCAAAACCCAGAGACTCCATCTGCGTTGATCTTATCAACGGCCGTCCTATCCGCTCAAGAATTCTACACGCGGAACCCATTCTCGTAGGAGCCGTCACCCTCGCCCGCATAAGACCAGCAATAGAGCCCCTTGACGCCTGATTCTGCTACATGCAATTTCTCCGGCGTATATAGCAGCTCATCCTCCAACCCGGCCCCGGCCTCGTGGCCCTCTTGCACGAACGAAGCCCAGACACACCGTCTGCTCCCTGTTTCAGTCAGTCTCCTATACCGAGTTCGGGTTCATCGCCTGCCATGCATGTTCGCGAGCCCCGGAATCGACGATGTCCGCTCTAGGCCTGACTCCTGCTCCTCCTTCTGCTTTCATCTCGCGGCTAAACCAGCCCAGCTGGCTCCGATTGCAGCACACCCGAACTACCGCCCGAGTTCGATGCCTGCGTCCAACGTTCGACTCAAGAACAGGGCATGAGTCTGACTTCATCTCCTGCTCTCTCATGCTCATAGCCAGCAATTCTGCCTTCTTTCTACGACAAGGGTATGCACGCCTCTCTGAATCTGGCGAACCCTGACAAGATCGCGTGCTTACCTCTGCGTTAAGCTCCTACAAGCTTCACCGAAAACGAGCCAGGTAGCACTGCTCCAGTCAGCTTATCTGGAGAACTTCCCCTTCTTGAATCATTTACTTTAGACAACTTCCAATGTCACCATGACATTATCTTTTGCATCAGCAAGATTCTCTGAAATGGTATTCGAGACATCAATCTGTTTCTTCTTAACCTTGGCCTTGCCAAGAACCTTCCTCCTCTTGATCCGCTTGGGCTATCTTCCACACGAATGCCTGCTTTTAGGCCACCTTCTGTTTGTGTGAGCAAATCCAGCGCGTGAGCAAATCCAGCGCAAACACAGCCACGCTGAACAGATCTTCCTCTCCGATTCCACAGCCAACCCACGATCAATCCCTTTCCACTCACACGAACAATTTCGCTTGAGCAAGCACGTCGGTGGCACCGTCAGCCACCACCTCTCTTTCTTGGACAGAACACCTTCCTCCTTCCTCGATCACCTCAACGAGGCTATGATACCAAATTGTTAGAACTAGGAGGAAGATCTTGAGCTATTCTTGCAAGAGAGAGAGAGAGAGAGAGAGAGAGAGAGAGAGAGAGAGAGAGGATACACATAATTTGGAGGAAATAAACTAAGCTTATTCAGATTTTTCCCCAAATCAATACGACATACAATGCCTCTATTTATAGAGATTACATTGTTGTGGTAATCGCAGGAACAACTTAATCTAAAACTAAATCAATATATAACAAAAGTTCAATAGAATAACAAAAGTTCAATAGATTATCTAAATTATTTTCGGATCAGACTGATTTGAATATTACTCTAATCTTATGGGTATCACACAATATAGTTGTTGATACATTTAACAGGTTATAGTAACTCAGAGAGCTATGATCGTAAATGTGATTGTTGATTTTGTTCTATGTTTAATTAATGCAATGTGTGTTTTATTATTTGAGTAATCTACTATTGTTTGATGTTTTGACTAACCTATTGTTGGTCAATGTTTAATAATTTATTGTTTTGGTTTGAGTATGAATAAAAAATATAGTGATAAACGCTCTTTTTTTTTTCTTTTCAGTTTCTTACCGGTTTTTGACGGATTTTCAATGGATTAATCATCGGCAATAATGCTAAATGATTACCAACAAATTTTGTGGCATAAATGGCCGATGAAAACACTGTTCATCTAATTTGAGAGAATCGACAGATAGGAAAAACTATTAGGTGTAGTCATCGTCTAGAGGAGAATCAGGATCCATCAAGTCATCATTTTATTGTGTATCTGTGCTGTGCGCCGAGTGACGTCGCTCATCCTGATTTGCCTCCGAATAATACGATGACTGCACGTAATAGGTAATCCAACGACATACAATGATACCAGAAATTCCACCGAAAATTGCAGTCGAAATTTTTTACAACCAATTATGGTGTGAATTTGTAGAAAATTTTCATTTTGGGACACATTATTCCATCTTTTTTCCCCTCATTTTTTTACCCAAAATCTGCCAGAAAATCGATGAAACTTTGCTCATAAAAAATACTCTATGTGGTTTTCATCGACGTAGTTAAATTTATAAAAAATCAATAAATAAAAGCTCTTTTTGACATAATTTTGATAATCTCCGGCGAATATTTTCATTGAAAAAAAAAAAAGCAGCGTGGAGTTTGTGTCCGTCCAGTTGAACCGACCTAAACGGCTAAACCCAACTTTCATTCCATTACTCTTGGGGTGTCAATATTTGACACGACCCGAAAATCCGACTCAAATCCAACCCAAAAATTTCGAGTTAGGGTCAGCCCGAACCCGAAACGGGTCAGGTTCGGGTTCAACATTTTGTCCCGTTTAAAAAATTGGGTCGGTTTCGGGTTAACCCTTTGATCCGAAATTGACCAGTTTTTTACCCAAAAATCAGAGTTTGACCCGGCAACCCGAGATTGACCTGATTTTGACCCAAAAAAGAGGAAATATATCAGTTTTTGACCAAAAAAAGAGGAGATAGACCCGTTTTTTGACCCAAAAATTAGCATTTTTTGTTGGAAATAGGTCATTCGGGTCATGTCGGGTTGACCTAGACCCGAAGCGGGTCGGATTCGGGTCAGGAAAACTGACCCGTTTTCAAAAACGGGTTGAGTTCGGGTTGACCCGAATAGTGCCGGGTCAGTTTCATTCGACCCGAACCCGACTCGTGACCTGAAATTGACACCCCTACATTACTCTCATACCCCACTCCCTTTTTATTTATTTATTTATTTATTTTTCTCTCATACATGTATAACTGATATTTTAAGAAGAAATTGAGCCTAACTAAAAAACAATATCTCTTGTTAATGATAATGGTTTAAAATAAGAAATTTGGGACACTTAACCATTTATTATTATCTATTAAATACATATACTTAATTTATAGATTAGTACTAAATTGAAAGTTTCAAATATTAACTTATAGGGATCATAGAACAAAATTCCCAGCTCTTCTACAAAATATAGAGCCTAGCTTCCACTTTGATAAATTAGCCCAGATTTTGACAGGGTACGGAATCACTGGTGCTCGATCTAGTGGTCTTTTTATGGGGATTCTATCTATTGCTGCAGGATCTCTATTCAAGATCGCTGCAGTTCCTCTTCGGGATCCAAAACACATCCATCCTCTATAAAACTCTCCCAAACATTCCCCCATATCCCTCATAACCTCCTGAGATATTAACTCTCCAATAATCCTAGGATATCATATCCAATAAGATTTTAAGAAAATATTTAAAACTCCAAAGGAATAAATAAAGCCAAAAATATATATGAAGTCTCATAAAAAATTAAAGAGGTACAAGGCAAAAGATGCGTCATTTTTATCTTCTCCCTTAAAATGAAATTAAGGTAGAGGAAAAAAATTTGTGTCAGAATATTCTAATCAAAATTCAATGAGGATGAACTTTATTACCCTTCTATAATATTAGTGCGATTTTTAGAAATTATATGCAACAATCTCAACACATCTAATAACAATGAGATGCATCATAATTAAGTTTGATCACAATATTCTTACACAAATTTCTCCTCAAGATATATTTTTATTAATGAAAAAAAAAAGAAAAAAAAAACATTCTCCTCAAGATAGAGAGAACTGAGAAAGATGAAGACAAAATTGTAGCAATTATGTTTTTTATTTCCATAGGTAACTCTTTTCAAGCTAGTTCATAAAAAAAAAAAAAATCACCAATTCTCTTTATATTAAAGAATATATTTATATTTATACTACTTTGCAATATAAACAAAATTAAGTCAGGTTACATTATGGTTGTTTGGTTGCCTGAAAAAAAAAAATACAGTATAAAAGAAACGAAATATACAATGACACCGGACCGGTGGGGGTTCGACGAATCCACGTCGATGATCCGGTGGCCGTGGCTGAATAACTCCAAGAACTTCTTGGAGGAAGGATCCACCACCTAAGAATCACTCTTAGGATACAGGAAAACAAACAAATTAAACTCAACTCAAATCTTATTCCAAATCCATCCTATTACAAGCCACTAATTTATAATTATAGACTTCAGGAAGGCACATAATAGACTACACATGAGATAGAGCTACACCAATCACTAATAAGAAAACACAATTTATTTATATGGACACTCCTTTGTCATACAAGAAATACGTTGGAGTTGTTTAAATGAATATAAAGTAAATGTATGCCTTTATTTTTTATTTGATTTGAAGTAATGTGAATGCAATAAACTACAAGAAGGTTGTGGTGGTTGGCGGCCAACGGCCGGTGGTGGCGGCCGATGGCGGTGGCCGGCAGAGGGTGGAAACTAGCGGCGGTGGCATTGGCAATGCATTTGCATTGTATTTGAAAATCGCCCAAATTTGAGAAATTCTAAATACACAAAAAATGCACTATGTGGAGTATTTGAAATGCACTCCTTTTACACCATATTTTCTTTACTTCAAATCAAACACTAAAATTTCTAAATCTCTCCATTTGTATTACTTCACAACTTAAATACAACAAACCAAACAACCACTATATGTATATTACTTCACAATATCAAAATGCAATTATAATAATGAACAAATATAATCACAAACCAATTACATGCTCATTTATCTCTACCAAATATAGCCTGATTTAAGGGCTAAGAGATGAAGAGAATACTTAATGAGTCAGTCCTCTCCTGCCACCGTCTTCGACCAATTTGACTGAACTTCATCTCTGTTTTTTCCTGATGCCGCACAATCCCCCTTATAGAACCGAGCCACCACCGCAAAAAAAATACCAAAGTTCACAGCGTTGATCCCACAAACAATCCAGTAATAGTAATCTAACTTACTCCTATTGAGATCACTGCTCAGCCAGCCTTCCTTCCCTCTCTCCACAATCTTCACCAGCAACGCACTCAACCAGTTCCCCACTCCAATCGCACTCATAAACACGGCGGTGCTCACACTCCTTGTCCCATCCGTAGCCTCGTCGTAGAAAAACTCTAGTTGTCCAACGTAGGTGAACATCTCCGCAATCCCCAGAAGAAAATACTGCGGCGACAGCCACCAAAAGGTCAGAGTTTTCGATTGATCTGCGGAGCTTCTCCGGTGGCGCTCTACCAGCGCGGCGATGGCGAAGGTGGGGATGGTAATGAACAGCCCAATCCCCACGCGTTGCAACGAGGATAGCCCGCGTGGGTGGCCAGTAAAGTGCTTGAAGAGTGGAACAAGGTATCGCTCGTACAGGGGAATGAAAAACAGAGCATTCACGGTGGCGAAGATAGCCACGGAGCCCGGTGGGACTACCAAGTGTTCGGAGAGCCTGCGGTCCATAACCATGCCTTGACTGATGAAGAAGCTGATCTGAGCAAATGCAAAGGGGAAGGCGATAGTGGTGGCCCAGATTGGGAGGACTCTTACGAAGGATTTGAACTCCTCCACTTGCGTCAACGTGCAAAGCTTCCACCGGCTCACCGTGTCTGCTGCTTTTGCATCCTCCGACCCCACCGCGGCCTTGTCGAGGAATTTGAAACGCCTGGTGTGAGGGAGTGATCTCTCCGTCATCACCTCGAAGAGATCTTCCTCGCTCTTCACTTCCACTCCCTTGGCGTAATTACGGCAGGCCGCGACAAAGACTTGGAGAAAGCGTGTGAATGGGCTGCCTCTCGGCTTCTGGTGGCGATAGAAGCGCATGCCGGCAACGAGGGTTAAAACAGCCGCGACATTGGCGGCAGCGGAGACGCCGAAGCCCCAGCCCCAGTCCTTGCGTTCTTCTATGTAAGCAATAAGGGTGATGCTGATCATGGCTCCGAAGTTGATGGCGAAGAAGAACCAGTTGAAGAATGAGCATTTCTTGCGGGATTCGTTGGGGTCTGCGTCGTCGAACTGGTCGGCGCCGAAGGATGAGATGCAGGGCTTGATGCCGCCAGTGCCGACTGCGATCAGCGATATCGCGCCGAACAAGAAGGCGTCCTGTAGTAATGACGCCGACTGGCAATCTTCGCCGCCAAATTCACAGGGCGGCGGCCTGAAGCTGTCGATGCTAGCTGCCACCGTCAGTAGCACAGCTCCCTGCCATAAATTTTGAAAATGTTAAACAAAAACAAAATCACACGAAGTGAAAAGGAAAAAATTATCATCATATATAATATATTGAAGTATACTAATTTAAATAATTCTTATTAAAACTTTAATTAAATATCATTTGAGATTACTTGTAGTTTTATTGCAATATTTAACTTTAATTATTTTTAATCAGTGCTATGTGACCTAATTAATTGAGGATTTCAACAAAAAGTAATTAAATATATAATTATGTAATTAATTGTTAATTAATTTGTAATTAAGTTGATTAGAAAATAGAGATGTTCATATCATAATTGAAATCAATATATTTGCATATCTAACATTTTAGCGAAAGAAATATATAGATCATTATGTGTATTTTTGCATGTTGCAATCAAATTATTTGAAATTTGATGAAATATTGAATAAAAATTAATATTTTATTGTGATTTTCAATTTTCTAGTAACAATTTTGATGTTCGGATCTAAATTGGGGGTTGTTATCGCAATTAATATATTTGCATAACTAACATTTTAGCAAAAATTTTGAACAAATAAATATGTTTGATTTTGCATGTTGTGATCAAATTATTTGAAATTTTATAACGTATTGTGTAAAAAATGGTATTTTATTGTAAACTTTGATTTTAATAATACGACAATTTTGAATTTGTTATGTATTTCTCTCATACAATTATCAAATTTTAAATAATTTAACAACATCAAATTGCCCAAAAGAACATATCTCATAAAAATGTTCATGAATCCACCAATAAGTAAAAATAAAAGTATAATAAATAATAGATGTTAGATGCTTAAGCACATAAGCTATCTACTTATAAAAAAATATGTAAATCCACCATTTAATGGGATGCTATATGTAAAATAATGACTAATTATATTCTGAGCTTTGTTCCCAATACGATTAGAATCTTTAAAAACAAAAGGAAGCTCCTACCACCGCATAGATAGAGGAGAAGATGACAGTGGTGAGGAATCGACCGAGATAAGAATCAGCAAGGAATGCCCCAACAACAGTAAGAATGAAGGCAGAACCTATCCAGTTCGTCACATGGTTGCTTGCTTCTGCCAGCTCTTCGTGCATCTCCTTCCTCAAAAATATCACCAAGTTGATTGCGATTGCATAGAAAGTCATCCTCTCCGCAACCTCGTTCACTACATATATATATATTTTCATGATTTCTCTCTCAGTTCCTTATTTTGCATGGATAAAAGGTTCACAGATCGATCACATACCGATGATGAAAGGTGCGGCTCTCCAGCCTCCGGTGGTGACTTTATCGGCGATCCTCCCGCGGAAGTCGACGGAACCATCGCTCACAAGCGTGGCGGAGGCCTTGGCAGGCAGAGCTTCGGGCATTCCTCCTGTCTCAACTTCCATTATTTTTTCTGTCTTATTTTAGAATATTTTTGTGCCTTGTTTTCTTCATAAATTTTATTATTTATTGGTTGAGTTACGTGTAGTGTTAGATGTAATGCAATGAGGGCTATTTATATATATATATATTTTTATAGAGATGAATGAAGGATAGAAATTTGTTGCATTCCACTGCCCGCATGACATCGTCTGCATGCTCTGGGCTTATTATAAGGAAAATAGCTACTGATTCGTTAGCTTTATCTACCCGTTAATGGCTATGTTCACGTCCAACAAGGGGTTTGAGGATGTTGCAACGAAGCGGACAAAATGGATGACAACAAAATTTATGACGGTGAAAAAGAATACTAATCCTTATATATATATATACAAAAATAGGCTTCGGTGTTAATATAAAAACTGATCACAAGATTTTAAAAGGAATCTACAATTCACTATTGTTCAAAGAGCTACATCAAAAAAAAATCTAAGAATCGTTGATCCCCAACTAATTACAAAAAGGGAAAATGTAGAAAAAATAAATGGAAGGTAGGCTAGAAATCAAATTGAAAAATGATAGCCAATTAACAACAAAGATAAGTAATAAGCACAGCGGAGATCAATAGGGTGACAATGACCTGGGAAAACCCAACAGATTGATCAAACAACAACAAGTGAAAGATTAGCCATAGGTCACTTACACTGGATCACACCCACATTTGTAGCAAAACAATAACCAAACTAAAACACCCACAATAGCAGCAAAATAAATAGCACGAACACATCAAAACAATGGGAACTAGGAAACCAATAGGTGAAAAGGAAATAATCAATACAACATTATAAATACAATAAAACATCCCAAAAATATAAACAACTAGCACAAGCAGAAAGCATAAGTAGAACACAAGCACCAGCAATGGGAAAAACAACCACAACAGCCGCCCCAGAAACAAAAAGAAATCAAAATTAAGATCTCAGCTCACTAGAAAGCCCTAGAAAATGAATAAAACAACAACTGAAGAATCTACAACAATAAAGAACCAAGGGCTCAAGGAAAAAGATCGAGAAAGAATCAAAATCAAATAGCAACACCCAATAGACTTGGAATTCACAAGGAGCCCAGAAAACGACCCAACAAGTACAAAAGCAATATCAGGAAATATAAGGCAAACTTTGAGCATCCAACAAGATGCTCCCTTTCAAGAATGGAGGAGCATTGGATGTCAAAAAAGAAACAAAATCATTTCATGAAGTATCTTCCTTAGCCAACCAAACCACACTGACGTTAGGAGTTCTCCTAATACAAGAGGTTCTGAAAACAATATTATCCAACAACATCTTAATTTTATGAAAAATGTAGAAGTAGTTGGGATTTAAGCACTTAGTATCATTAATCAACGAGATTAATTTAACTGAACCAGATTCAATCCATAAAATTTTGATGTTGTAAACATCACACTCCCTAATTAAGCCTTTTAAAAAGAGCATTCAAACCAATACCAATAACATCTTGATAAGGGTAATTGTAAGCATAGCCATAAAATAAATTTTCATTAAAATCATGAATCAAACCACCATAGCCACATGTAGAATTGGAAATATAAGCATGAATGTTGAGTTTAAATTCATCAATAGAAGCCTTTGACCATTTCATAATAAGATGAGGAGAATTATTGTTAATGATGTTACATTAAATATTAAAATGAGAAAGACAATCTTTCCTCTCACTAAAATGTTTGCAAGTTAAAACACCAGCCTTAAACAACTGTTGGGTTTTAAATGACAGAATATTTAACACTCTCTGAGAGCACATCTTAATGCCATTATGTTTGCACTTATTTCATTCATTTCCACAAAAGCCAAAAACAAGTAAAGAAATAACCATGAAGATATGCCATTTCCTCCTTTTATGAAACCACCAATCCAAGAAAGATAAAACATTCAAGTGACTAAAACTAATTTTAATCTTCAGTAAATTCTTCAAAGTAATCCAAACCCTAGCCTCAATAGCCCCATTTAAAAAAACATATATAATAGTCTCAACATGAAAACAACATTTGCATTTGGAAGCCAAATAAAAACCTTTTTCTTGAAGCCTACAAACAACAAGAATGAAACCTTTTAAAATCCTTTATGGCAATACAAAATAATTAAGAAGAGTAGATTTATCCCATATTTTACCAAAGGTAGAGAATGCCTCAGCTCTTTTTTATACCTGAAAGAATGCCAAGTTTTGTCAAAACTAAACTAATCATCCTCCGATAACTTAAATAAAATTTAGTCTTTGCAACTGCGATAAATGGGGATATAAAAAATAACATCCACGAGACCCTTAGGGATAAAATATAGAAGATGATTAATGGAAGAATTATCATTGTATATAAACCACATGAATTTCAATGAGGAGGTAGAATGAGTGTTTAAGTGAGAATCAAGAGATCCTACACCATTCCAGTCATCATACGAAGAATGGAAAGACCCATTGTTAAGTCCTCATTGAATATTAGATTCAACAACCCATTTAATGTTACAAAGACATTTCTACCCTGTGGAGGATTGATCTTATTTAATTAATGATACACAAGGTGGGATGCATATTATTACAACATTTTTTATCTATGTAATTGTCCCAAAGAGAACCATTCTTCCTTAATAATTTCTATCATAATTTAAAAGAAAAAATATTTAATAAGATCATAAATAGACTTAATACCAAAATCACCCTCCAAAATAGGGCCAGTGTAGCCACCCAATCGGACCAATGAATTTTTTTAGAATTACCATTAGAGCCCCTGAAAAAAATTATTAAAAAATTTCTCCAATCTATTGCAAACCTCCATAGTACGGTTGATGGTTTAATGAAAAAGACGGGCATTGAGCATAAGTCACTTTTAATAAGAAGAAGTCTGGCACCAATAGAAATAAATTTATATTCCCAAGCAGAAAGCTTGGTATTAATAACAAAGAATATTTTATCAAATAAAAAAGATCTCTTATGTAAAGGAGTCCCTAAATAATAAAAAAGGATAGCCTGATTGAAAAATCTAGTGTAAGTATGAATGTTGTTGTAATGAATATTAGATATACTTATGCCATCATTAAAATAAAATTTTTTATTATTAAAATAAAGTCCACTTTCCTTTTCAAAATAAGAGAAAAACTTTTTGATTATCTTAACTCACTTCAAAGAACCATTGCAAAAGATAATAATACATCAACAAAGTAAAGATGAGAGATGTCAATACCACCAAAATTCTTATAAGAGAAGCTTTTATGTATATAAATGAATTGCGCCAAGCCTCTAGATAAATAATCAGCATCAATAATGTAAAGAGTATGGGATAAAGGATCACCCTATCTAATACCTTGATTACCTTTAAGGAAACCATGAGCTTTACCAAAAAGAATAATAGTGAACCAACATTTCTCTATGATACTTTTAAAAAGATTAATAGCTTTATTATCAAAACAAAAAAACTTCAATATATTAAAAAGAAAAGTCCAATTAAGGCTATCATAAGCCTTATAAATATCCAACTTTATAATCAAATTATGAACATGAACTTTTTTATTAATTTCATAAAGAATTTCCTAAGCAAGAAAAATATTATAAAATGTTCCTACCTTTAATAAAACCTGGTTGATTAAAACATATAATGTTAGGCAATAACAATGATAGCCTATTAGATAAAAAATTTTATAACAATTTATTAAAGGTGGAGCATAAACTAATAGATCTAAAATTATTCCAATATTTAGGATTAACTTTTTGGGGATTAAAATAATGGAGGTATTGGTAAAGAATTTGGGGATATAAAAACCTTTAAAGAAAGCAAAAAATAGCCTTACATAGATCATCTTTCACAATGTTCTAACAATTTTGAAAAAAAAAATATAAGTAAAGCCATCGGGACCAACAACATAGACCTTGTTCATGCTCTTCAGGGCATTAAAAATCTCATTCTCATCAGGAGAGTTAGAAATGACACAATTATTCTCAAGAGAAATGTAGGAAGGAATAACATTGGGAATAGAAATCAATAATACCTGCTTAGAAGCACCAAGGGAGTAATTGAAAAAATGAAATAGCAGAATCAATAATTAAGGATTGATCACTACACCACTCCTCATTTTCCATTTTAATCTTATTAATAAAGGATTTGAATTTCTTTGTCATTGGCCAATGCATGAAAATAATTGGTATTTTTGTCACCCTCTAGGATATGCTTGGAAGAAGCTTTTTATCTCCAAAATTCTTCTTCCATAAGCTAAATATTGATCAAATTGTGCTTGGCTAAAGCAATATGGTTCCAATCAACATCCCCATATGAAGTAGAAAAGTTATTCTTAAGGAAAGATACTTCTCTTTCTACTTAATAATATTGTCAAAAAATGTTATCAAATTCATTCTTATTCCACCATCTAATGGCTTGTTTGAGTTTAATAGCAAAGAGGATCATGTCATTATCCCCCTGACAGTGAAACATATGAGCATACCAATTCTCATTACGATTGTCCAGATGAAATTTATGATTTTGTAATATGAACACATTAAAGAATGGTATTCTCATCTCTCGATGTGACATATCATTTATAATGTGTTCAATTTAAAATTAAGTTTACATTAAAAAAAATTTCCCCAAAAATACAATCCAATTGATTGTATCCCTCCCAAAGTTGCAAACAAGAACATTGATAGAGAGAATTAGTGAGAGAAGGGTTCAAGGAAGGTCTACTTCCTCTTTTATGTGTTTTGCCAAATTTTTTTTAATTAAAAAAATTGTGTATTTAGTATCTTACTCCTAGAGAATGTACATTACACCCTATTCACCCTATTCACTCTATTCATCTTCATTGACATGAAAAATCATGGACTAGATTTTAGATACCACAAAACTAATAAGTTTGAAGACAACCCATCATGATTGATGTATACAACAAGTAGTTGCCAAGGAAACTAAGATGTTACCCAACTAAGGAGATCCTAATTACTTATTAAATCAATTCACACTTCTTTAACA